CACATGCTGCAAGAATCGCTGACACGATAGTGTGCATCAGGGCCAAAATTTATTGTAAAATTTTTTTTCTGTTTTATTTTTTAGAGTTTATGGATCAAAAAGACCAATTTTCGTAAATACATCTCTCAGTTCAGTTAGAAACAAGAGGGATATAAAACCTATTTTGTGGTTCTGACTGGAAGAGCAATGTTTACCCAGACGGCCTCCTTTGAAGTCAAAAGACCTCTCCTGTTATCAACCACGAGTCTTGGGCTCTATGTACTGACTCATCTGAGGCTTGCTGTAAATTGTGACCACCCTGAAAGTAATTATTCTCCAAGCTCATGGAGGTGAAAACTAGTTTCACTCTAGTGTCAAATCCACTTGGTTGGTCAGGCCAGACACTCCTCAGATAGAAAATCTTGAGAATTGAAACTGGCAAGGAATCAGTCATGAGGGAAATGGAGAATCCATTGCTCTGAAGAAAGTGCAAGCCTGGCTAGCTGTAGATTTCTTGGATCAGACTGAGAGAGGAGACAGTGGATACAAACGCCATCAGCCACAGGCTCTGTTCCCTCCTACTCTGGAGATCAGGAGCAAATGCCAAGAAAAAGATAAGATCTAATAGGAGAGGGAAGAAGAACCACGGAGAATGTGTGTGAATTCTACCCTAGATAAGCTACCACTGCTAACCACATCACCTATTAAAAGTTAGAGTCCTGTCAGAAAGAGGGCAAAGTGGAGTTTACCTTGAGGGACTATTAGGGACCATTCTTTTTATAATGCCATTGAGTTCTGCCAATGATAGCCCTGGCCAGAGCCCTTCAGTTGTAAACAGAAAGCAAGGGGGTTCTGCAGTAGGCAGAAAGGCACTCCTTAGTTTTCATTCGGAAGGATGGCATAGTCTGGCATCACAAGCCAGGGGGCCTTCAGCTCTCTTTGGAGAGCATTTCCAGCCAGAGAGCTTCAGCTGTTTCATCGAACTACCCCAAGCATCAGAAGAAAGAAGAGCACAGCCAATGGAGGCAAAGAGAACAGTCTCCACATGAACCATCAAAATATCACCATGGCAGCAATGCTGATTATCTAAATGCCTGGTGGTACAAGTATGGCCAGACTAGAACAGCTAGAAAAAAATGTTTTCATAAAGGGAATATTTTGGAGGAGGGACTTAATGAAGACTATACTCTGTGGGAAGGGTGGGTAAATTCTGAGGGAGAAGAATAGAGTGGGAGACCTTTCATACAGCTAAAGGAAGTTACTTGGTCCTGTGTGTCAACTGTGTGTAGTCGTATCTAGACGAGTAAGTGAGCATCATACTACCTTAAATTACATAGCAAAATGCATAGCACTATTAGTCTGCCTTGAGATTGGCCACTGGGATAAGGATCCATGGGCCACTAGGAGTTAGGCTGTAGATGTTTGTAAGTGACGTCACAAGTCACAGGGGTCAGGTTCCAAGTGGACAGGGCCATATTGTGAATGTATGGGAACTTCGACTTTTATTTTTGTCTGTTTTTTTTTTTTTTTAACATGAGTGGTTCTCAATGTTTCTAATGCTGGGCCCCTTTAATACAGTTCCTCGTGTTGCAGTGACTCCCAACCATAAAACTACTTCGTTGCTACTTTATAACTGTAATTTTGCTACTGTTAGAAATTACAATTTATATACCTGATACATAGGATATCTGATATGTGACCCCTGAAGTGCTTGCAATCCACAGGTTAAGAACCATTGCTGGACACTAACTACTTAATCACCATGTTAACCCTTATCACTGTATTTTCCCAAGTCTTGTTACCATCTGTAAGAGGAAGCTCTTGCTTTTTCTGCTAGACATAATCAAGTTTTTTAGTCATCTTAGTCATGGGGATAATTTTTTTTCATGGTTTCCTAACTCTCTCGGGTTTAGTTATCACCAAAGAGGCAGAAGACAGCAGCATTTGGGAGAGGCTACAACTTAAACCTTTATCTCTGCTTGAGAAATCCCACGCTGCTAAATTGACTAGAAAATTGAAGGATAAATTAGGGGCAGTTAAAAATTAAGATTCTTAACAGGCTCTCTACAAGTGTTTAGGATGCATTACTTCAAGATGTGGTACAGCTGCTGCCAAAATAAAGCTCTCTTAAATAACTAAATTATCCTTTTTCATAGTTCATGCCTACTTCCTGATAAAGGATATAAACTGGTTTTCTAGTTATAACTCTGTCATACATTTTTTATTTCTGATTATATATATAATATGTAAATATATATGTAAAAGTGTGGACTCCAGTGTGAAACTACAAAGTTTCTATTTCAAGTGTTTATTCTAAATGTATAGAAGTTCACTGAGATGTATAGACTTTGGGTTTTGTTAATTTTGCTGTGGGTTTTTTTACATTTTCAAATAATTCATAATCAATTTTATAAAACTAAAAAAGAACTAAATTAGGTAAGTTTACCAATAGCTAAAACAAAACAAAACAAAACAAAACAAAACAAAACAAAACAAAAACAATACTATTCCTGAGGGTGCTTTTGATTTTTAAAAAGGTTGCCTGCACTCAATTTTCCTTGTTTCTACAGACTTTTGAGGAATGTGGTTAAAACTGAACCTGAGCTTTTAGAGAGTGTGAAAAAAGATGTACTTCAAAGTTCCAGGGAGAACTGAATGTTCCGTGGAAATCCACTCTCAAATACAAGTTCAACTTTCTCCTGAATCCATTGACATAGTTTCAAATCTTACAGTACACCTAAAGGACTCCAGCCTGAGGCCAGAGATAAGAACCTTTTAAATTCTAGAATTTAGAGACATCACTTTGACTGCCTCACTGGGCTTCTGCCTTCCTGTTAAGCGGTTGCCTCTAACTTAAAGCAATCCACAGCCCATTCCCATCCATGTTAGCTGCCATGCTGCTCTGGATCCGCCTATTCTTCTTCTAGAACCTCTCAACATTAAAGCTCTTTAACTTTCACATTAATATTGTGTCACATAATCCTTGCTGGCAGTCAGATGCCAGAGATCTAGGCGCCCGAGGAGACCTGCGCAGGTGAAGTCCCTACTGGGATTCTCGTCTGTTCCTTTTGTGGTTGTTGGAAGTGGTAGTTACCTGCCAAACTGATACAGAAATTTGAATAGTTACATTCAGAACAAAAATGTGTGTAGGTGTTTTAGGGTTTAGAAGGTATGCCCAACAAACTATGAATGTTTTAGTTATCATACAAACGTACTTATATTAGTAAATGAAAATTTGCTGACTTTCCCCCCCCCCCATATGTTGGCAATAAAGTTGTTTGCCACTCTAATGGCCAGAGTCAGATAAGCAGTGGTTGGCTCCTCCAGAGTAAAAGTCTCTCACTGATATGGGTCATTGCCAAATAGATGAAAACCCTTTCATCAACTACAGTTTTGAAGTAGCCATATTAACAGAACAAATAGCTTCTTTTTCTTTATAATGCATATATTGAAAAAACACTTCATTTGTGGAAAGAGTAGCTCTTTAATTTTATTCATGTTTTAATCTAAAATTTTATTTTTTTCCTGAGAATTTTATACATGAGTATAATTTTGCCCCTCCCCCACTTCCCCTACAGCTACTCCCTTGGTCCCTCCCCTTCTCTCCCCTCTCCTCTCTATTCTCTCTCTCTCTCTCTCTCTCTCTCTCTCTCTCTCTCTCTCCTTTCCCCCTTTTTACCTCCATATACTCTTCTCCCTTTCTCTTCTTTTGCTACAAAATACATTTTGGAGGCATTACTTATGCATTTGGACAGAAGAACCAACTTTGGCTGCCTAATACAGTCTAATACACTAGTTTGGCTGTGCCTTCTTCTAATACAGTAGGCATTATAAATTCCAGAATAGGACTCAATCAGGTTGAAATTAGACTTCTTTCTTTCTTTCTTTCTTTCTTTCTTTCTTTCTTTCTTTCTTTCTTTCTTTCTTTCTTTCTCTCTTTCTCTCTTTCTCTCTTTCTCTCTTTCTCTCTTTCTCTCTTTCTCTCTTTCTCTGT